TGTGTGTGTGTGTGTGTGTGTGTGTGTGTGTGTGTGTGTGTGTGTGTGTGTGTGTGTATATCCTAGCCAGTTTCGGCTACACGATTGCTATTGTTTAGAATTAGAGCTACGGTTAAACAACCAGCTCTTTCATTTGCCCTTAGATGGCTACAGTGGCCAATATTATTGGTAAATAGTCAAAGTCAATGATCATTTATTCCATAGGTAAAATAAATTTACACTTGAAAACGTCACATTTACATTACATTACATTAAGCTACTGCTCATTCACTACACTGACTTCCCTGAGAAGAACGAGCAACAAACTCTAGGATTGCTCTTTTCAAATAAACTTAAATGTTCGCAAACAGCGGTGACACCGTCGACAAAGTAGTAAAAGATAGCTGCAGGCGTTTTAGCCTTTACAGCATCACGTTTCGCATCCAGGTCTGACAGTCTCTGCTCCTCAAATTTTTCACCTGAATTTTCACAAAGTTCCTTCACCCAGAACGGCAACTCGACTGCATCTCCCACCTCGACAGGTAAATGTTGCAACTTTTCATGTGTCTTTTCATAACATCCTTGTATTTCAAGAACTGGTCAACTTGTTTCCGCTTGCCATTATGGAGTCGCACGTAGTAGCAGTACTGATCCTTGTAAAGGAGTTAGTTTAAAGAAGTACTGCCACCAAACTTATTTCAGTCGCCAAGCAGTAATGTGAGTGTCGCCTCGATATATGACCAACGTTCAGCCTCCATGGATGACCAGCGGACTGATTGGCAACAAAGACACACCCACTAGACTGACAGGAATTCAAAATTAGACTTTTGGAAAAAGACGACGACCGACTTTCTTTTAAACAAAGGACGATGAGGGTAGCCCTAACTTTTGATGTCGAATCAGACGAATCCGCCTGACTAAATGTGTATAAACAGACCATACAATGATCATTACTGCGTTCCGGTTTTGAAGGGAAATTACAGACACGTTTACACCGATACCAAAAGTGTTAATTTTTTGGAAATGGTCATTAAAGTTTCTGGAATGTAGTTTAAATTTGAAAAACCGATAGTTTCGTTTAGTGACGGTGTTGTTTTCAACGTGCGATGATAATGTTATCAATGAATAATTAAGTCAGCCCAAAAATGAAAAAAGTTTTCAACTTTTCATCTTTAAAAACCGGAATCACGATTATAAGATTGCACAAAATAACAAAGTCAACAACAAGACTTCAAAGTGAGCTTAATTAAATAATGAATATTAAGCGAGTACCCAAAGTTTTCATGGCTTTTCGTTAAATCTTGTTCATTTATGCGGGTTTCATCTTGACTGAGATTAAAATTTCTTTCTTTTATCCTTCATGAAGTATTACTAATATATGACAATATTATTAATATTAAACATAGCTCGTTGATGACTAATTCCATTCCGTGACCATGGGACCTGAAAAGAGCCTGAAACGAGCCTGAAACTTTGGTTTGTTTCAAAACCCGAGAAAATTAGCTTCATTTCCTATATGTATGCAATCGTGATATCCTAAAACTCGATAAATACATGATAATTATTTTCAATATCTAGAATAAATTTTATTTCTTACTTTCCTTGTTCGACGTAACAATAGAAAACAAGCGCGTTACCTAATTGAAAATCAAAAGTGATTAAAATTGTTACTCGGAGTAAAAAAATTCAGAATTCATTAATATACGTTCTCGCATGTATATATATGTTGTATATAACATATGTATGTATATTTTCATATTAATTAACACTACAGACTCTAGATCCTATCCCTTTTTTTATTTTATTAGGTAAAACATCATGTCTGCGTTCCGCGTATTTTGTTCGTTAACAAAGGATGCCTAACGTATGCCTATTGTGATTAATTTATTGTATTTTATATGAGGCTTACCATACTTATCAACACTCAATCCAAAAAGAGTTTATTATCGGCGGAAGACACAATTTAACACAAACGAAACGCACGTTTTGTCGCTCTTATTGCATAGATATAAAGGTTTTCTGATTAAGTGTAGGAAATCCCTAAATCTAAATTTATTTTTATATTATAACGCACGTAATAACGCAGACACTCGACATAGCCCAGCACTAGTGAAACCCTGTGTCGCGGGTGCCATGGGCGCACACATAAACGACCCCAAAGTCACGAGAGAAATAAATGTAGGCCATACAAATTTTTCTCCCGGCCCGGGAATCAAACCTGGGACCTCTGCGTTGCAGTTCGGCATGGTAAACGTTCGGCCACGGAGGCAGTTAGCTACACTCAGGACGCTACAGTCAACTCGGATGAACACATCGTTCGTGCTCAGTGACTGTCCCACATAGACAACATGGAGCCCATGATCGCCTAGTCTCGACCTCTAAACGCCATGTTATTTATTTATTTTATATTAAAGGGTAAAAATAGCTTATACTACAACATGAAAATAACACTAGTAATCAAACAATTCCCTGATGTAGTTGAATAGGTAAATAAGCAATCATAACACAGTCAGGTGAAAGAAAGTTGAAGTAATACTCGAGTGCGTTGTCGTGATACTTTGAGGGTCGTATTCTAGAACTCTATTCAATGCTCAAGTCAGGATTGCACTGGCAACACAAGCACTGGAAATACGACCCTAATGGCAGGGACTTGAGTATGATTTCGAGTGCTTTAAACCATACTCAAATCCTGACTTGAGCATTGAGTAGAGTTCTAGAATACGACCCTTAGATCTTCAAGTTGTAATTCCTGAGTGAGTCTTTGGCTTATGATGCCTTCCGCGTGTCGTATTAATTTGGCAATTGCGTTCTACGGTCTGTACTACCAAAATTAAGGTCATTGTTGCACTGTTTTTCTTGCGTTAGCTCGAATATGAAGCGCCTGCCAGCTTCTCCCTCGGGTCATTTAAAGCGCCGTTGTTATTATAATGAGTATCCTCCCCTTTAGTTATTATACATTGTCAGGGCCCGGGCACACCGTTGATCAGTTATTTTAGTCACCGCCCAGTACTCGGAAGACGTTGGGGACCGATTGATCCATATCTTGACATTGATGTTTTCTTTCCTGCTAATGATATGAAAAAGAACTTAAAACGCTTATTGAATAACTATTCGATCTTCTCCGTCATTGCGCTTCAAATTTCCCGAATATAATATTGGCCAGGTCCGTCCTTGGGACAAACTCTCCACATTTACTCGCCCCTATTAACCTAGGGTCACACAGAAACGACACAGATACAGAACGAAAATATAGCATTTGTGCAAGATGTACATTAAAATTGGTGAATCTTTTGTAAACAGTTCATCCATTTAACAGCTCATCCAATCAGGATGAGTGTATTGTTTTGGGCTTATTTCTACACAAACACTGCAGGAGTATACAGATAGTGTACAACACTCTGTACATGCAAGCGCTTAGAAACGTTTATTGAAGCAGGAGCATATCGCATCGCTTACATTTCTCAGCCGACTACGCTGAAATATCATGTTTTCGCACTCAGTTGCTTAAAAGTATCAGTTCTTTCTCGTACCAAAATGTTATCAACAAGGTATCACTGATTTGAATACGCTTCAAAATTGAAGCCTGAAGTTAAAGATGCTAGTGTACACTCCTGTCAAGACCAGAATATATTCCAAGCGTACCACAGTGAAAAATCTGGAACCATCTGACGCCTCCCGTTTGAGCAGCTTCAACTAAAACTGGCGCTGGCAACTTAAATTTTTAAAGATTTTTTTTTTGTTCAAATTATTTATTAGCTTTTTATGACCTTTTTATTATAAATCTCTCAACATTGTAGTGGGCTATTCGATGTAATCTATTTTTAACGTCAAAATGTACCCGCCTTAGAGATAGTTTAGTTTAAATGATTATGATCCTCTCGTAGTACCTACAATCGCAGGCCTATATACTTTGGATCAACTTATCGTAAGAGGAATGAAATTGAATTTAAAGCTTAAGTATAAAGGAAAACGTGCCATTATTCATACAATAGGTACATTATGGCTCTCGCATTACAAAGGAAGAAATGAAGACCCGTTTTACTTAAAGCTTGTAAAAATCACCAGAACTAAGATTATGAAATAGGCAGCTCTAATCCCATCATTGCATTAGATGGCGCGTTTCTTAATAAAATTTAAAGTGCGTAACAATTACTCCCTGAACTTCCATTTAAAGAATTCGTCCAGGTCAATCTGCCGCCAAGCATTAATGTGAGCATTACTGCTTTTCGGTTTTGTAGGGTAAGGGTGCTGGTGAAGTTACAGACACATGGGACTTGTCAACTTAGGGCGCAACGGCAGTGGTTCTCAAATAAATAAATAAATTTAAGGCTCTGAGTGCTACTGCTACTGTCAGTGACAGACGTGTCGTTTACCATCTAGTGCACGACTTGTTCGTCCTGTCATTTGGTATAAAAAAGAGGAAAAAACAAACGGCAGAAAACTATTGCTAAGCAAGACCTATATTTTCCTGAACTACGCCTAAGTAGGCGTGGCATGACCGATGTGAACAAATGTATACATAGAGAAGTCCTATAAACCAACATAACTCATGAAGAAAATTTGCCAAGTCGACGATTTTATGAAGCTATTAAATGTTTAATATGTAAGTAGGTATTAGACATTAGCTAATGTTTGTTATCATGAAACTTGGAAGACAACACAAAGGTCCAACCAATTTATTCATGCTAGTAGTCAATGTCCA